GGGCGAGGTGGCGGGCGCCTGTAGTCCCAGCTACACGGGAGGCTGAGGCAGGAGAATGGCGTGAACCCAGGAGGCGGAGCTTGCAGTGAGCCGAGATTGCCCCACTACACTCCAGCCTGGGTGACAGAGGGAGACTGCGTCTCGAAAAAAAAAAAAAGCTTGGATGCCGCCACACTGAGTATGAGATGCCCACATGTGTTGGGGGGAGACAGATGTCATATGGGTGTGCAGCTCAGAGACAAGGGTTTCCTGAGGGCTCAATTTTTGGGATTCCTCAGTGTGAAATTGGTGGGTGGGGCCTGAATAAAATGTCCCCAGGGCACCCCGTGTAGTTGGGAACAGAAGAGGCCTGTGGCTCGCTTTCTTTGTCCGCTGCTTGGAATGGGTAGGGTGGGACCAGCTAGCCTTTGGGCTGCCAGAGACTTCGAGAACCACAGGGCTTCTTTCGGAGTCTGGGTCACCCCAGGGCATGACTTGGTGTCTCGAGCCTCGCCTGTGGTCCAGGTGTTTAGACAGGGCCCCTCTGCTGGAGGTAACTAGGAGGAAGGCGCCTTTTTTTTTTTTTTTGAGACTGAGTCTCACTCTGTCGCCCAGGCTGGAGTGCAGTGGTGCGATCTCGGCTTACTGCAAGCTCTGCCTCCCGGATTCATGCCATTCTCCTGCCTCAGCCTCCCGAGTAGCTGGGACTACAGGCTCCTGCCAACACGTCCGGCTAATTTTTTGTATTTTTAGTAGAGACAGGGTTTCACCGTGTTAGCCAGGATGGTCTCAATCTCCTGACCTCGTGATCCGCCCGTCTCGGCCTCCCAAAGTGCTGGAATTACAGGCGTGAGCCACCATGCCTGGCTGAGAGGGAGCCTTTTTAAGGATAAGCTGAGTTAGTGACCAGAATCCTGCCTGCGAGTCCTAGAGTGTAAGGCAGCAGCAACAATTATTGGACACTAACTGTATATGATCATGCTGAATGTATAAGCTCATGCTGTCTGTGTACTCCCAACACCAAATGTATATTCCTGCTGAGGATACCTCCACGCCACCTGTATAACGCATGTTAACCAAATAATCGGCTGCACTATAAATATCTATAAATATTCAAGTAGGGCCAGGTTGCCTGCAATCTCAGCACTTTGGGAGGCTGAGGTGGGAGGATTGCTTAAGGCCAGGAGTTTGAGACTAGCCTGGGTAACACAGTGAGATCCTGTCTCTATTTTTATTGTATTGTAGTTTATGTTTTTTGAGACAGAGTCTCGCTCTGTCGCCCAGGCTGGAGTACAGTGGCATAATCTCGGCTCATTGCAACCTCCACCTCCCAGGTTCAAACCATTCTCCTACTTCAGCCTCCCCAGTATCCGGGATTACAGGTGCCCACCACCACGCCTGGCTAATTTTTGTATTTTTAGTACAGACAGTGTTTTGCCATGTTGGCCAGGCCGGTCTTGAACTCCTGACCTCAGATGATCTGCCCGCCTTGGCCTCCCACGGTGCTGGGATTACAGGCGTGAGCCACCGCGCCCAGCTCGTCTCTATTTTTAAAAATAATAATAATAAAAATAAATAAATTCACAAGCGGCCTCAAAGTTGGGAGATACTGGCTGCGCTCAGTGGCTCATGCCTGTAATCCCAGCACTTTGGGAGGCCAAGGTGGGTGGATCACCTGAGATCAGGAGTTTTGAGACCATTCTGGCCAACATGGTGAAACACTGTCTCTACTAAAAATACAAAAATTAGCCGGGTGTTACGGCACGCGCCTGTAATCCCAGCTACTCCGGAGGCTGAGACAGGAGAATTGCTTGAACCCGGGAGGTGGAGGTTGCAGTGAGTCGAGATTACGCTACTGAACTTCAGCCTGGGCGAAAGACTCTGTCTCAAAACACACACACACAAAAGTTGGGAGATACAGTGAGACCAGTTGTATTTTATTTTTTAATTTTTATTTGTTTTTTGAGACAGAGTCTCACTCTGCAGCACAGGTTGGAGTGCGGTGGTGCAATCTCGGCTCCCTCAACCTCTACCTCCCTGGCCCAAGCAATTCCCCTGCCTCGTCCTCCCCAGTAGCTGGGATTACAGGCCCACGTCACTACGCCCGGCTAATATTTTTGTATTTTTAGTAGAGACTGGGTTTCACCATGTTGGCCAGACTGGTCTCAAACTCTTGACCTCAGGCAGTCTGTCCACATTGGCCTCTCTAAGTGCTGGAATTACAGGCATGAGCCATAGCACCCAACCAGTGAGACCAGTTTTAGTACGCAAAGGAGTATATAATCAGCACGTGGGTGGATAGTTGGTGTGGGGGTATACAGTAGGCATGGGGGTATACAGTAGGCATGGGGGGTGCGGCCAGCTGTACCATGCTGGTATACTCCCATAGTATACACCCATGATGGCTGTATACCTCACACAAACTGTATACCCTTCACCCCTACTATACACCCACAAACAGATTAAGTGCCTCTGTGATAATTATATACATCCATGTTACCTGTGGCTTCACTGACCATATGCCCCATACTTGCGGCATCCCATACCTGCTCTGTACCCCTATGTTGATTGAACACCGTTACAGTGATCATACAGTATACCCATTGCCAACTGTGAACCCTGATACTAAGTGTGTACCCCTGGTATGCCATGCCTGATCTATGCAGTGTTTTTCTTTTTTTAGATTGTTTTTTAATTTAATTAATTAATTAATTTTTTGAGACAGAGTCTCGCTCTGTCGCCCAGGCTGGAGTGCAGTGGCGCGATCTTGGCTCATTGCAACATCCGCCTCCTGGGTTCAAGTGATTCTGCTGCCTCAGCCTCCCAAGTAGCTGGGACTACAGGTGCGCAGCACCATGCCCAGCTAATTTTTGTGTTTTTCGTAGAGATGGGGTTTCACCAAGTTAGCCAGGATGGTCTTGATCTCTTGACCTCACGATCTGCACACCTTGGCCTCCCAAATTGCTGGGATTACAGGAGTGAGCCTCCACACCCAGTCTATTTTCTTTTTTCCTTATTCTTTTTTTTTTTTGAGACAGAGTCTCACTCTGTCCCCCAGGTTGGAGTGCAGTGAGGTGATCTTGGCTCATTACAACCTCCACCTCCTGGGTTTAAGCGATTATCCTGCCTCAGTTTCCCAAGTAACTGGGATTACAGGCATGTGCCACCACACTGGCTAATGTTTGTATTTTTAGTGGAGAAGGGGTTTTGCCATGTTGGCCGGGCTGGTTTCAAACTCCTGATTGCCGGTGATCCACCCACCTCAGCCTCCCAGAGTGCTGGGATTACAGGCGTGAGCCACCGTGCCTGGCCTATGCCTGCTCTTTGAGGTCAGTTTTGGTTTCATACTTTAGCCTCATTTTGCAGTTGAGGAAACTGAGGCTTAGGGAAGATAAGGCCTTTTTAAGTATCTTCTAGTTCAGAGGGTGCAGAAGGAGCATTTGAATTAAGGGCGACCCAGGAGGATGTGGGCTTCAGAAGGGTGGAGATTGGATCTCTCTGGTGCCTCACTGTACATGGTGCCCCGCCCAAGGCCTGTACCCACTAAGGGCTGAATAAATGCTTGTTCTAAGGCCAGGCCCAGTAGTGCAATTGGGGGCCACGGTGGGAGGAGCCCACAAGTCCAGGAGTTAAAGATGAGCCTGGGCAACATAGCAAGATCCCATCTCTACAAAAAGAATTAAAAATTAGCCTAGTGCAGTAGAGCACCTGTAGCTCCAGCTACTTGGGAGGCTGAGTCAGGAGGATGGCTTGAGACGGGAGGTTTAGACTGCGATGAGCTGTGATTGCACCACTGCACTCCAGCCTGGGCAACAGAGGGAGATCCTGTCTCAAAAAAAAAAAAAAAAAAAAAGCAGATAAAAAGAAAACTCATTTCCTGCACAGGTTGGAGAAGTTTTCAGCCCCAACACTCCACAGTTAGTTGTCTGGGTTTGGGCCGTGGGCTGTTTTCCCTGCCAGTGCCTCAGTTTCCACACCTGCAAAACGGAGTCACAGAAACGCTCTTTCAGGGTGGCTAGGGGTTCTGGGCGGTGTCGCCCGGTGGCGGAGTGTTCCCGGGGTGAAGCCGCAGGGTTCTCGGGTGGGGGCGGGGAGGGCTAAATCCGGCCGGCCGGTGAGTGGCGGGAGCAGCTGCCGCCCCGCCCGCGCCCTCCCGGGTCCCACAGTCTGGGCAGCTGCCCAGCTTGGGCCGGTCTGACCGGTTTGGGCCGCCCCGCCTGGCGCTGTGCTGGGAGGAGTCGCCGCCAGTCGCGCGGTCAGTGCCTCCCTCCAGACTCGGGAGGGCCGAGGGGGCGCGGGAGAGAGCGCGGGCGGCCGCCGGGGCTGGTCGCCTGCAGGGATGGGGGACGAGCGGCCCCACTACTACGGGAAACACGGTAGGCAGCGACCCCCGCCCACAGCCCCGGGCCGACCCCTCGGCCCCTAGGTGGGGGCCTCGAGAGGACGTGGGGCACAGGGAAGGGGGCTGGAGGGGGAGCGCAGTTGCGAATCTGCACCTGGAGCCTCCCTACAGCCAGCCCCCCTTACCCCACTTTTCCCCCGGAGCCTCGCAGACGACCCTCCTTACTCTCCCCCACCCAAAGGACCTGCCCCTGTAGCCCTCTGCCTGGCACTGCTGCCAGCGTCCCCTTCCCCCTATCCCATCTCAGACCTTCCCCGTCTCCACCTAGTTCCCTGGTGGCCACCATTTCAGCCCTCTTACCAGTGGGTGGCCGCCAGTTAATAAATTTGTTCACAATTAGTGATTCCTCCTTCCTCCCCTGTCCTGGCCTGCCAGAACTGGGGGCTTGGGTGTGGTCACCTGGAGGTGGGTGAGGCAGAAAATTCCACAGGTCTCTGAAATTCATTCTTGCCGAGGCAAAGACATCCCTAGGGGCTTTTGAGAGGGGGCGCTCTCCCAGCCCTGTCTTGGTTCAGGTCTCTAACCCCATCAATCTTTTTGACTTTCAGGAACGCCGCAGAAGTATGATCCCACTTTCAAAGGACCTATTTACAACAGGTAAGGGCTTTGGGTTTTGGAGGGTTCTCCCTGCTAATACTACCCCAATCCCTGTCTCTTCACACACCCCCACCCCCGATCTGTTCTCCAACAGTCTGGTGACAAATATTTGAAACTTGTTTTGTTTGTTTGAGACGGAGTCTTGCTCTGTCGCCAGGCTGGAGTGCAGTGGCGCGATCTCGGCTCACTGCAACTTTCACCTCCCAGGTTTAAGCAGTTCTACCACCTCATTCTCCCGAGTAGCTGGGATTACAGGCGTGCGCCCGGCTAATTTTTTGTTGTTGTTGTAATTTTAGCAGAGATGTTTCGCTGTGTTGCCCATGCTGTTCTCGATCTCTTGAGCTCAAAGCGATCCACCTGCCTTGGCCTCCCAAAGTGCTGGGATTACAGGTGTGAGTCACCACATCTGGCCTGGATTTAATTTTTACCATGTTCGTATTTTTTGTTTATTTATTTATTTTTGAGATAGAGTCTCACTCTGTCACCCAGGGTGGAGCGGTGCAAACTCAGCTCACTGCAACCTTCCCCTCCCGGTTCAAGCGCTTCTCCTGTCTCAGCCTCCCAAGTACCTGTGACTACTCAGAGGCTACTCAGGAGACTGAGGCAGGAGAATTGCTTGAACCTGGGAGGTGGAGGTTGCAGTAAACTGAGACTGCTCTACAGTACTCCAGCCTGGACGATAAGAGTGAGACTCTGTCTCAAAAAAATAATAACAAAAAAATAAAATGCAGCCAGGCACGGTGGCTCACACCTATAATACCAGCACTTTGGGAGGCCAAGGTAGGTGGATCACTTGAGGTCAGGAGATCAAGACCAGCCTGACCAACATGGTGA